TGGATCAGAAGAGCAAGAAGGAGCATATAATGAAGATTATGCTAAAAATTCTAAGAAAGATCAAGTTTAGCCTATGAAAGATAAGGAGTATGTGTTAGAGATTATCACTCCACAACCTAAAAAGCGATTCTATTTTTGCTTGAGCTGAATCAAGTTTGTTTAAGCAATTTTGAGATTTACTTAAGTAGATTTGATTTCGCTTAAGCAAATAACAAAGTTCTCAATCAATACTCTTTGTTTAAGGTTAATTAAATTCTTTTAAACTCACTTAAGAAAATATCAAATAATTTAAATAAAATAAATATTATTTAAGTGAATTCAATTTATAAATTTTTTATCACTTGACATCTATCGTTAATTAAAAAACAACTTGTGTCGTCATGATTTTCTCTTGAATTCTCCAAACTTGTTTCGCTCCATTCCTGTTAGTTTATGTGAGCTTCAAATTTTATTATGTGAATTCATCCTTAATTAAATTCATTCCAATAAATGAATCTTGACTAGAGGGTTATCTAAATCCGTCAAACACATATCCACTATCAATTTTCGTTGACTTCGCATATCAATTTCTTAAAGGAGATGGTAGATTTGACAGCCTAGACCGTAGAAGCACTATTGCTCTTGAAAGAGGCTTTAAATATGACTAACTCCAAGGGCAAATGAACGTGTGCCTACTAGCTAGTTGAAGGACCACTAACTGTTAATTTCCTTAGACCTAAAAAATGTAAAATAAAAAAAATTAAAAATATATGTCGTTAAGATAGATAAAAACAAGAAGAAAAAATAAAATAAATAATATTTAATTATTTAGATGAATAAAAAATTACAACAACATATACTTTTGCAATAATAATACCATGCCTGCGGGACCCACACATTATCTTGCATCTCCCTCCCTATTAGACAAATTATCCAATTGAAGAAAAAGGAAAAGAAAATCACAAAACCCGTTTTTCACATTTTTCTTTCATCCAAAATCAGCCTTTCCAAATAAATAAAACAATAGAGTGGATGAGAATAAACTCTTATCCTTAATTTCATATTCACAAATTGTAAAGCAAAGCAGGGGAATAATGGTTAATGAAAGTGTGCTAATGATATTAAAAATGCAGAATCGCCAATGAATGAGTTGCAAATGATGGAGTAGCTTTTGGGTGCAAAAGAACAGCTTGAAACGTGCTCACCAAGCGAGACATGAGAAAAAATTATAAAAAGAATACAACAAAGGATTTGAATTTGTAGAGAGGAGGAAGAACATTTGTAGCAAAGGAGATAATGCTTTGAAATGTGCAAAAAGGCATAATATGCCACTTGTTTCATAAATAGAAAGCAAAATACTTTGGATTAAAGCACAGGCTGTTAAGCCAAAACCCTCTGAGTTGTTACATTAACGAGTGTTCAAGTTGACAAAAGAAAAAGGAGCAATAACGAGTGATTGCTATTGTATTTATAAATTTGAGAGAATATTTTATATTTTTTTAATTAATGGTTGTGATTCTTTTAATATTTTAAATATTAAAAGATATTAATATTTTTTTTAACTAAATTATTAGTTAATTATTTCTCCGCATAAAATTAATAATAACGATTGTTCTACGTATAAAAGAAAGTATTAAATTTTTTTAAAGAGGTAAATTATCAAAAAAGATTTTATAAAAAAGTAAGATAATCAATTTAGAATAAGGCTCTCACTTCATAATTGAAACCCATTTAAAATATTACATGTGCTACTATAAATTATTTTTCAAAAAATGAAAAGTCAAAATGATGTGATCTAAAACTCAAATATATACTATTTTCAATTTTTGATATATATTCTTTCCAGATATTATAAAATATAAAATTTTTTCGCTAGGAATTATCAATACATAATAAAATAAGTCTATATGGGTAAAAATACATTTTTCAAACCTTTCAAGCCTATACACAACCAAGAAGACCATTTTACAAACAAAATAATATAAAAGACACATATAATGTTGTATTGTTGTCAAGATTTTAGTTTGGTTATTCAAATCTTCAAACCCTAAGATTTCTCTTTTAATTTTGGTTCTCACTTCGAAGTTTAGAGAAATATTATAAGAGTTTTTATTCGTTCAATTTTTTATTATTTGGCTTAAATATAACTGCTCAATTCCTATTCTTTCCACTCTTTTGTTAATTCTTTAAATAATAATTTAAGTAAAAGTTTATTAAATAAATTTTTAGTTATTGGATAGGGAATTTATAATATTTAGGTAAGATAACCTTTCACTTTTTGTGCTTTACAATTTTTTCCAAGCCAACAAATCGTCAGTTTGATTGAGTTAATAGCTTGAAGAGGTTGTTGGAAACAAAAAGTGAGAGTAAAGTTTCAACTCTATTATACTATTTCCGGTTCTATTTGTTAGAAAAAAGCAACTAATTCACTAATATCAATAAAATTAATTATATACTATAAATATTAATGTTATTTTAAAAGTGTTCATCATATTAAATAATTCAGTTTTTTATGTAAGAAATAGGTGAGTACTTCATTAATATAACTTTATAATAAATTAAATGTATAAAAGAAATTTAGTAATTAATATATTTAAAAATAAATTTTTATTTCTTATAATTAGGACAATTTTTTTTTATAGTTGATCCTTATAAATAGGACTGAATGTAGTTTTTATGAATTATGATCAAATTGTATTAGGTGTCTTAATAAAAAAAAAAACACGTTCAATAATATTTTTATTTAAAAATTAAATTTATCCATTTCTTATAATATTGTCATAAAAATAATATATGTAAATTTTTTTCATAATGAATGCTTTAAATCATATATTCTATATTATAATACAGTGAGGTAATGAGGTAATTAATATTTATATTGTATAAAATTTGTAAACTTGATTTATTTTATAAAAATTTTGAATTAAAGAAATTTATGTTTTTTTAAAAAAGTAAAAATATTATTTTACTAAATTTCACATTTGATATAATTTTGAGACATTTTCAACTAGTTAAATCCCTTGAACTATATCTACACCTACTTTTGTAAGTCAAGAAAAATCCAAACTCATACTCAAAATTTAGCTAAATTTGAATATTTTTTTTTTATCTAAGTCTAGTTGAGGTCAAACAACACACAAATTTAAATTTAATTGTCATGCTTACGTTTCACTGGAAAATTAAAAAAAAAAATTAATTTGAATTCCTTGCGTATCAATTGTATAAATTTTAACTCAAGGTCCGATAATGTGTTATTTCAAAATATGATTATAGTAACAAGAAGGTATCTACATATTCTCGGTGTTATTTCTATTTTGACAGAGATTTTCATGGTTGATTTAGGCTTGTGATGTGTTGTTATTGTTAAGATGGTTTTGAGATCAACCTTTGAAAACAAAAGTAATAAAAAATATAAAAAGGTAATAAAACATTTTAGACGATGATTACCATATAACACCTACTCAACAAAAAACACATAAATGGCCGAAAATTCTCATTGTAGGGAATATTCTTAACATCTACTATTCTACATTATCAAATAAAATAGAGAATGAGTCATCGAGCTTTGCACAGTTACCCTGTTCCTTACACCCAAAACACTATAATTATATATTTACATAATATCCTATTTTGTTGAATTCCCTTGCTTTATTTAATTAATTTTATATTTATTATAATAAAAACTTTCGATAATTTAGATCTTCCGTAGTTTTTCTTTCTATCTTATATATGTTTTTATATTTATTCAATACCAATAATGTTTATCATTATTTTTATACATGATGCGGATCTAAATCCTCTCATACTAATTCTCATTATCTAAATTTTAGTCAATTAAAATATAATTTTTACACTTTTTGAACTAATATAAAGAATTAATTAAAAATATTAAATATAGTACAAAATTGCAACAAGTATAAAAAACATAAAAACAATACACGCTTCCAACGATAAAATATTAAAATCTAATATTATAAATTACGATACTATTTATCTGAAGTATAAAAAAAATATAATGATAAAAAATAAAATGGTATTAGATGAAAAAAATAATGATATTAAAGTATTTGCTGATTTCCTTCCAAAATAAAATATTAGAAAGTGTAATATACGTCCTAAATATTAAATAACTTGTTTTCATCCAGAAGAAAAAATAATATTAAAAATTGATATCAATTACTGAGTTATTATTAGCCAATAAGTTAATATTGTTATTAAGTCCCATAAATCATAATACTAAGTATAATCTTAAAGTGACTGAATCGAACCATTAATCATTAAAAGAATTTACTTTTAAATGATTATTTTCATAATCATCAGCCAGTGATGAGTTGGAGTCCTATGGGCAATATATGATTACTGAATGAACCATAAAAGTCAACGAAGTTAAATCAAATCCGATATAACGAATGCTGTTTGAGTCGTGATTGTACTTGCACAGTCACCTTCCACATGGGAATTCCATAGGCATAGTTGTCTCAACATTTTATTTTACTCTGTTTATTCATTTCTGTTCCCTGTAAAATGAAAACCCAACAACAATTTAATTTGTTAAGATGATAAATAAAATAGCGAAGAAGAAAATAAGAGAAAAGAGTGATAGAAATAAAATAAAATTTTTATATTTATTTTTATAAATAAAAAATTTAATTTTCCTAAGTATAAAAAATTAAGATAGATTTTATTAAAACATATCAATTGTATTAAAAATATAAAAGTGTAATAAATATTTTTTATACATTTAATGTTAAATTATATAAAAATTATTTCTATAAAAAATCATTAATCTATTTTTTATAAAAGCATAAGAAAAATCGCTTGAGTCTGATTAAAAAAAATTCATTTTTTCTTTTTCTTCCTAAACAAACATTAGGAATAGTAATAATAATAATACGTGCAACTTTTGTATTTGCGGTCTGTGTGACTGAGTATGTTATATTTTTGGCATAATATCTTTCTTATCAAGCTTTAATAAAGCCATGTTCTTGTTCCATTTCATCAGCATCAAGGTTCAAGGACAACATTGAAAGTCCTAGGATAAGGGGGAAGAGAGTTACTCCAATCTCTAGTTGAAATTGCACTTGCACTTTTCTGTTTCTACTACATTACTTGTGTCTTCTTCATTGTTGACTAGTTTAGTTACCACATGTTCTTGGAACTGAGAAGCCACGCTGATTAGATCCAAGTTGAAGTCTTTGGAGATACCCATTACTCCAATAATACACACATTGCCATGGGTGGTCTCAGTCTGAGAGAATCATGGTGTTTCTGCAAAGGGGTGAGCAAGTCTGAAAGAATGAAAGTTGCTATTTTCTCAGGAAAAGGCCAAGCCATGGCCACAATCACCAACACTGCAACTTCCAATGGCGTTTCTGGCACTGGATTTTTGATCCACCGGAACCTTCTCTTGACCACTCATGCTAATCTTCCCTCGGTGGTTGCCGCCGACAGCTCCGAGATCCGCCTGCACAACGGTGTGGCTGCAACTCTTGTTCCTCAGAGGTACCCTTTTACGATTTCATTTTACTTGCTGACATTTTTATCATATGTTTACCAGAATAGGAAGAAAATGTAAGGAAGCTGTCATTATCTTTTCGTCCTATTTTTATATTTTTATTTTTTTTTCTTTTTGGGGTGGTTTAATTTTTGTGTATTTGGAACCTTGAAGATTAAAGGGGGTAGGTAGAAGAGGGAGGGAGGGAGGTAGGTAGCTTAGTGGAGGATTGAACCGATGTTAAGCTTGAAGCTGGTTGGCTTTTGGGTTAAGATTTGTTTCTGGAAGCTGGTGAGCAATGCGATTAATGTGGTATAGTTGGATTGAAATTCATTTCTAAATGTTTGGAACACTTCAATGTTAAAGTTGAAGAGTTTTAGATTTTTAGTAAGAGATCCTAGTGGTTAGAAGCTACTTGGATGCTGACTAATTTGAGTGGAGTCAGGAAGATTCACTTGTGGAGGCAAAAGCTCTCTTATTGTCAATTTTTTTTTAAGAAGACTCAAAACTTGATACTTTGCTTGAGGGAATTGAACTCTTTGACAACTTGGACAAACAAACATTTAAAAGGAAATATTGACACATCTTGGTGTTTTTGAACTATTTCTGTACAACATATTCCCCACCGCCCTTCTTGTTTCTACGTGAAGTTTCATTTGACAATATATTCTTCCTTTGTTGACTTTTTGTATACTGCAATTGATGTTTGAAATTTCATGTTGCTCATTTCTTTTTATAGCAGTTGTAGTTAATATTAGTTCACTTTATCAAGGATATTCATTAGACTATGAATGGTGGTTGCTAGTTTAGTCTTTTACTTTAGAAGGTAATTTCATATATGTGAACCAGTATCATGTGATTCCATTTCCATTCGGTGATGCATATATTACATTGTTGTCGCATATTCACATATTTAAATGCTCAATTACTTAGTTTTCACTACACCTGGCATATACTCACCAACAAGGACAACTAGCAGATTGATAGAACCACCAATTGCAAAATATGAAGTTTTAGATCTTTATTTTGAAACTTTGAATTTATTTAATCATGGTCAAAGCTAGTTGTTTCTAGGAATAGAAGGTCGATAAGAACCTTGGGAGAACCGCACTATAAAATTTAAATGTTGTAGTTGGAGAGCTCATGGACTTATAAACCCCACATTAGAATCCCATACTTCCAATGTGGCACTCAAGTCCTATATCTTGCAATTGAATCCTAAGTTCCTAACATCTCACCATGCTCACGCAAGCTGGTTGTGAACTAGTGGGAGACATGGTGGAAGGCTCTAATACTAATTGCTAAGAACCTTGGAAGAACCATAGCACAAAAACTAGCTATTATAGTTGGAGATTTCAAGGCCTCATAAACCCCACATTGGAATTCCATACTTTCAATGTGGGAATCTAGTCTCATACCTTGCAATTGGATCCTAACACAGATCAAAATAGTAATTAAAGATTACTGTAAGTATCGCTTTGTGTTGTGTGTATTTATTTCAATAATCTAATAGTTATTGTAACTTTTTCTAGTTATGATCCTTGGTAGGATTATTTATTTAAATGTGTGAATATGTATTCCTTCAAGATGCTAAAATTTATTTTGTTTAATGATATGATTTTATAGATGGTAACTTGTTATTAGGATTTGCACGTCAGGTGTTGGGGTAGTTTATGGTAGTTCAAGTCTTGTTCTTTAAGAGTACTCTGTCTCTCTGAAGAACTGATGCATATGGGGTAATACAAGAGTTACATGCCAACAAATCAAATTACACTCACACCTTTCTCAACTTTTATTCAGCAAAGGCAAAATTGTTTAAACAGAAGGTCTGAGGATCTTCTAGAAAGCTATCTTGTGTTTCAAATGTTTCCACAATATTTTACAGTTTATTCCCTTCCATTCACTCCATTGATGCAGTTATTTGTGCATGATGTTTACATGATTTGCTTCACATTTAAGAAATTATTGTCATTAGTAACTTAAAAATATCCTATTTAATATACCTTGAATATATAAAAACTAGTGTATAATCTTTATGTACTTGATCATTGCTAAAAGGCTGAGAAACATATTTATGAAGTGTGAAAAGTCATGTAAATGTTATGTATTATATTTAAGAAATGAACAGTTCATGGTACATGGAGTGGAATTGAGAGACATGCTGGAAGGCTTTGATATCAATTGATAAGAATCTTGAGAGAACCACGGCACAAAAACTAGCCATTGTAGTTGGAGAGTTCAAGATCTCATAAACCCTACATTAGAATCTCATACTTCTAATGTGGGACTTAAGTCCCATATCAATTGGACCTAACAAAGTCAAATTGTGATTTTGATATTTAAGTGTTTTATCAAACTAATAATCAATCTTAATAATTTGGTAGAGTTTTCTGCATAGGAAACATTATGAGAGAGGAGTAGATATACAACACAATTTTCCTTAGTTAGATCTGTTGATAAAATGAACCCTAGAAAGAGTTTCTGCCCATTGATTATTGTCTGGCCATAAGTTTGAATTTTGCATCCTTAATCTGGGGATTTTAAGGAGATATGGACATTTTATTAATATATTTGAGCAACTTCTCTTTATCTCTTGCCCTAGAAGCAAGTCTTTCTGCTGATTTATTTTTAGTAGTTGTCTCTTTCACCTCACACTTTTAGCTGAAGTCATAACAGAAAACATAGTCATGTAATAATTGACTCACGTAAAGAGCAGAATGTGTCACAATGTAGAATCCTCATGGCATTCAATGCACACCAAAGTTTGCACCAGTTTGAGTACTTTTTTCTGGACTAATGTATCCAATATATTAGCATATTAGTCCTGACTTTGCATTCTGAAACTTCAATCAACACTTTCTAGTAGCATGTTTGAAATTCCTCATAGTGCTCCTGTTGGTATGTAGAAGCAGACAACATTTTATTATTTGATCAAATTTTTCATTTAATTTTTCAGAATTTGCAATTTTAAAGTTATGTTTGCTTTGAAAGCGTACTAGATTGGGTTATTTCATACTCCAGTATATATATCTCTTTGGATTACATTATGCTCACTTTTTATGACTAAAGTTACATTGTGGTCTAATTTTTTGATGATTTTAATCATATATATTATTTCTTTTTTTAGAAAAAAGTAACTATCTCAGTCCACTGCATCAAAGTGATGTGAATTTCGGTTTTGCAATCTCAACCTGCTTCTTGCCTTCATGGATATTCAAAGACATATGAGAGCACAACTCAAGTGTTTTATCCTCAGCTATTCTTTCTTTTTTTATGGGGTCAGGAGGGATAGGGGTTTATTTTTCGACAATTTAAGCCATTGTTCTCTCCAATAAAATTTCTTCATCTGTGGAAGGCACGGTTACTTTTGCCAATCCTTAAAGTTATTATTTGTAAAGCAGTGGTTTATTTTTTATTACTTGGTTTTTCAGGTTTTTCATTACTAGTTCTGTATTAGATCTTACAATTGTGGGCTTAGATGATGCGGATGGAGACTCAAATGCACAGGGTCAGTGCCCTCACTACTTGAAGACCAGTTGTAAAACCAATCTGGATCTGGGAAGTGTAGTTTATCTTTTAGGCTACACTGAGAAACAGGAGCTCACTGTTGGTGAAGGAAAGGTGGTCATTGCCACTGACAATCTCATAAAATTGTCGACTGATGGAGTTCAATGGAATCCAGGTTCTGCAGGTTTTGATGTGCATGGCAATCTAGCTTTTATGATCTGTGATCCTATGAAATTAGCCACATCACCAAATACCAAATCACCTTCAACATCTTCATCTTCATCCTCCTCTTGGAAGAAGGATCTCCCTATGCAATTTGGCATACCAATTCCTGTTATATGTGATTGGTTAAACCAGCATTGGGAAGGCAACCTTGATGAGCTTAACAAGCCAAAGTTACCGCTCATGCGGTTGATGTCTACCGGCCCAAAGAGTGAGCATTCCTGTGCTTCCTTCACAATGCGGCAAGTTTTCAAGTCAAATGAGGGTGATGATGATGGCACCCCATCTTCATCAAACAATGCCTCAAAATCGAGGGAACAAAGACCAAGCTCTTCAGCTGTTACCAACACTGTTGAAGAAGAAAGTGTGATCACCAATCCCAATGCTGCACATATTCAAGGAATTCCCACTCCAGAAATATACGAATCACCTAGAGTAACTGCTGTGCCACTCAGAAGGAAAGAAAACACGCAAATACAGCTTTTGGACATTAATTTTCCGCCAAGGATTGTCAAACCTGCAGTTTTGCCACAAGAACCATCCAAAGAAGTGCATCCGAAGTTTGCTGAAAATTCTGCCACAGAACCTTTGCCTGAAACCCAGTTAAAGGGAGGACAAAACCAGGACAGAAGGCCAACAACTCCTATTGCAGAAGTTTCCTCAACAGGTTCTGTTAATGGAGCACAAAGTGAGGTTCAGTCTAGTTCATCTCCTGTGGAAGTACCCGAAATGCAAAATGGATACAGCAGTGAAGGAGAGACTATGTACTCTGCAGAAACTGCAGAGAGCCGCAATTATACAAGCCCCAGAGAGTTGAAGTTTCAACAAGTAGGAAGGAGCCAGAGTTGTGTTAGTCACAACAGATGGGGTGCTACACCAAGAAGCCAAGTTGCTCGCGGTATGATGGTGGAAAATCAGAGGAGCTTCATGCATGTGAAGAGGATGTACTCACAAGGAGCAACTTCTCAGAGAAGCAATGACTATTTCAGCCCCACTGTTTCCTCAATCATGAAACGTAACAGCTCAGAAAACCCAACCAGACCCAGGCAAACTGCTGTTCATTCTCCTTCACCAAGATGGATGTTTTGATGGATACTTTATATGTGATATTTCTATTTCATAAAGTGAAAAACTCTTAAGAAAAAAAGAAGAGTATAGTGGCTTTATATTTTTATTCTTTTTGTCTTCCATATTTATATGCTTATTATTTTTAATGGATCATGTTAAAAGACTAGTTATGGTGAATAAGAAATTCAAGCCAAAATGTAGATTTCTTTCAAAATGACGGAAGATGGATTACCATTTCCATGTTGAGTACAATGTTCTCTCCAAAAATTGAAGCCCATATTTTTCTCTTTCAGAGTTAACGTGTTCATGAATGAATAGCAAGTGGCCTACAGTATCAATTTATTGAAGTCATACCACACTAAAATTATGACAAGTTAGTTGCTAAAATGTAAAGCCTGGATCGAAATATGTATATACAATATAAATTCAAATATTAAAAAAATAGTGAACAATATTTTACATTAATAATTTATTTAAAAGTTTAGAAAGGGAAGAAAGAAAAGAGTTTGAAGAAGGGAGAACATGGAAAAAGAGAGTTAATATAAAATCTTCTAAATTAGGAGAACTTAAAAAATGAGATTAAGCAGGTTTTAGGGGGTTTATAAAACACCTTCCTCTTATCTAAAGTCTTCCAAACAAAATTATCATCATATAAATCTTCGTATTCCTTTTCTTTCTCTTTAAAAGCTAACTCTTAAAATAAATATCTTAAGTTTTGTTTGAAATTTTAGAGGAAGAGAGAAGAAAAAGTTAATACAAAACTCTCCAAACGGGAGAACTTTACAAAAAATATGATTAAAAAGACTTGGAAGATTTATAAATTTTTTTCTTCTCATCTAAAATCAACTCTCAAAAGATATCACATAAATCCATTTTTACCTTTTTTTTTCCCCAAAAATCAACTAAAAAACAAAGCTTTGAAGAACTTTCATGTTACAAGACGAGATTAAATTTAAATTATAAACAGTATCATTGCTACTGTACTGGTAAAGAAGAGCTAAACAGATATAAATTAATAGTTCGATCTCCAAATACTACTAAAAAATGTGGTTAGCCATGCAGGGGAAAATGATACCATAAGTCGACGCATGTCCACCGCCTGGACTGTTCTAATATATATGTGATTACATTATTTAACTCAATTTAGTAAAGTCAATCGTCATTAATAGTTGCAATCCAATAAAAAAATTTAGGCCATTAAATTTTTTCAATTACTAACAATTTGCCCTATAAGTTATCATGTGTGCTCCTTATGGCTTTAATGCATGAAAGTTGTTTTTGTGGCTTAAATACGTATTCCGTGTAACATGAATGCCTTATTAAAAGAATAATACTATATCTTATAATGTTTTCCTATTAATATTCCTACTTAAAGATAAAGAAAGTACTATTTTTTTTTTTCCATTTTTAAGACATTAAATACATTTGTTGTTTTACTTAATACTTTCTTTAATATATTAGGAGGATTAATAAGATGTAATAGAAAAATATATCATTTCTTTTATTAAAAGCAAATGCATCTTGTGCATAAATCGAGACTCCTAACACAATGAAATATGATTTAGTCTTGTTATCAAATAGACAACATACAGACACCATCAGTAAAGGTCAACAAACAAATTGTAATTCATTTTTAGATTGCAGAGGCTACAAACATAACATGTTTAATTGATCTTAAATCTAGAGAAATAATCACTTGTTTGACGGGACAAAAAAAAAAAAAAAACTCTCAGCAAGCTGAAAAAACAACTATTTCTTTAAACTAAAACTAAACATACACTAGTCCCAATATGTGAAAATAATATTATTTTATACTCACCGAAGTTAATTTTGATCCATTTTTACTGTTATGCAAACCTTTGTTAACTCATTAATTGAATTTAAGTCTTCAGTTCTAATCATTTCGTAGTTTTCAGTAATGTGATAGGTAGCACTGTTAAAACGTAAATTTATAAAGTTCTCTCATGTTAAGGAATAGTAACCAAATCTTTAGTTGGAATGCTCCAAAAAGGGTAAAAAATTGAAAGCATAAAAGTTAAATAGATAGGTAAACTGAAATATAATCCCAATATCTACTCCTATGCAAACAACTGGAGATTGTTTCTTTGAAACCATTCATCCAACATGGATATCAAGCTTAAGTGAGTTATGATAGTCTTTTTTGGTGACTAAGTTTGAACATATGATTTCATACAAACTTCCCAAATCCCTCGTTACTAGCGCCTTTGTAGTGGCTTTGAGCTATCATATTTTAATCAGTTTCAATTGTTCTCAAAGAATATAAGCTAGAACCAAAATTACAAAAATAAAATAAAATTAATTGATTGTAATAAAAAGAGCTGATGTACATTGGCCAAAATCGAAAGCAGTTCCCACATTAGTATTGTGTGTACAAAGTTAACCAAAAATCCTTTGCAACTCCCAATCAGGTGATGGTCAGCAGCTAATTCTAAACATAATAGAAGATTTGAGACCACATCAGCTGTGACTAACATCAACTCCTTTTTGCTTCAGATATTCTGTCGCTGCAACAATGTCCTGAAAAGAAGCAAAATAAGTTACATTCTTTCCAGACATACCACAAAAGGCACAGACCATATCGGAATTATAAGTTGCCACAACATCCAGAATCCAGCATTAGTATTTTACAATCTCGCCATAATGATGAGCTCTTTTTAATTGTATAACACTGGTTTTATTTGAACAGAGTTAAGATTTGGGGGAGTGAAATCATTTTCTAATAGTAAATTCAGTGCAAATTTGGCAGAGGAGCAGCAGTAAAGCACTCATACAAGGGGTGACTATGACCCCTTGTATTGGCAAACTTAGGTTCCTATTAAGCTGATGGCATATACTTTCCATCAACATATGGAAAGAGTTACTAAAATGCAAAATGTACAAGAACATGAAAAAAGCCCTCATTGATGAATGTAAACATTGGACATACAAAGATATTCATTTGCCTCTACCTAAATAATACCTTAATTGGAGCTTGACAATGAACAAGTTGCAGAGAGTATATCAGTGACATAACTCTTATTCAATGATACTGAGGATATCGATCCCCCACTTAGTGTGATGGAATTTTTCATAACAATGAAAAAGAGATCTGAATCATAAGCCCACAATGGGCAAGATGTGAAATCTCAGAAGATCCTTCGAGATTACATTCAATTTACAAAAGTATCCTCCCATGTCCACCCCATAATCTGATCTACATCTACATTTTTTTATCAAAGAGAAGGGATCTTGGTGACAGAATCCTACCAACTCCAGTAGCAAATGTCATGGCACTAACTGCTCAGGTAATGAGAACAACAACCAAAACACATACCCCCAAGCTTTACAACATATAACTTTGATGAATTTCAATAATAGCTAATTTTTCAACCAAAATAACTATGTGGAAAACTGGAAATTAAACAAAATCATCTTTGCAGTCCTAAATTTTTATCTATGCAAACAATTGTGAAAGACACTAAACTCCACATTACACATCTAGTAACATCCATATTCCAGAAGCACTATGAAAGCACAAACCATGGAATTAATTACATTGAATATTCAATGAACAGATAGGGTACAAGAATACCTTCTGCAACAGTAGAGCTTCTTGAGGACAGGTTGGAAAATTCATCAGACCAACTCCAACCATTAATAGTCCATAACATCCTAAAGACACAACAAAATATATGGGTAGCTGCACAGAGGGCAGAGACAAGATATAGTCAGCATCATGCAGATTAAAATTCAACAAAATAGAGAGACACCAACAGGGTTGATTCAGCTGGAAAGAAATCAAAGCATTTTGCTTATATCTTACAAGTTTTAGGCTTGAATCCCGCAGCCTAAAATCCCCCTTGATTGGGAATCTACATGCACAACTGTAAGCACTCATTGATGCCTATTGCATGCCCTAGCCTTGGAAACAGAATGCCTTCCCTCCCAAAAAGTTTTTTGCACCAAACAAAAGCCAAATAAATAAAAATCAAGCACATGATGACATGAAGACCTACCAACCAAGTATGACTGCGTGGAATTGTAGAAGTTTGTAGAAGGCCAATCCATAAAGCAGTGATGGCAATTACCAACATCAAAATCTTCACAATATGCTTCATTTATCAATCTGAAATTAGATCAATTACAAATGTGCGTAATTTTTATATAAAAAGTTTTTACAGATATAAATGTTTCACAACAAAACATGATATATGTAGGTATGTGCGCATGCATGTGATATAGAAAAAGTGGGGAAGAATCTGAGGAAAATAACAGGAAAGATACAGACAAAAAACCCTCAAAAGGTTGAAGCAAACAACCATAAAAAGTTCAAGCAATAATTGTCACAATTATTTACAAGAAAGTAAAACCTATGAGAACAATTCTTGATATGAACCATTAACTTTGAGCCATAAGAGTTCTCATTAGAAACTTCCATTCCTAAATAAAGTGTCAGAAATCAAAATGCAAATGCAGCATCTCTAGTGCCATGAGTCATGAATCCCTTTAATGGTTGTGACATTAAGCCTATAATTAGTACAACAGAAATGATAGGAAAAAATTATAAGAGCACAACGTGCCTAGAGGACTTAGCCCTAACCACTTTGCTTGTCTTCCTTCCATATCCTTTTTTACCATCTACAGCATAATTTCAGCAACAGTCCCAAATCTTGTACCAATATTTTATATTTCATTTGCTAGCAGAAAACATCCATTCATGCTTGCCATAAAAATTGTTGCAATCTCAAAAGCATGGATACATTATGTTAGTGCCATGTATTTGTCCAACTTTTCCTCTTAAGAAAAAGGTTCCAACATGGATATAATCATTTAAAATTCAAAACACTTACGCACAGGTTAAGTCTATTTAACACTTTTACACAATTTTTAATAACCAGGTTAAAAAAAAAAGACAGCAGCTTTGTCGCATACCAATCTCATGCTCTCAATTTTTTCATTTCATTTTGGTGCATATGACATGCATCCAAATGTTATAAATGTCGTATAATTGTGTATGATATCATAAATTATGAATTTCTTCGTTAAACAGACATACAACTTTTAGAATTTAGTGTCTGTCTTTATGTATGTGTTTGTGTTTCATAGGTTGCAATAGTGTTGAATTCTTTGCATGGCATCCTGGTATATTTACTGTATGTAGTTACTGCAAAATTTAATCCTATTTCTTTCAGACCTTCAGCCAAGAACCAGAATTGCAAATCTACTTGAACAAGAACAATCCTCCATGGTCATAATTTAAGAAAAATACTATTGTTTTTTGTACTATTGTTGTCACCAACATCAATAAGGTAACCACGGAAGTATGACAATCCAGTAAAAAAAAGTAAATTCTTCACTCAATAATCCAGTAATTTATGAAGATATGGATCAAAATCCACACCAGTTAAATTCATATTAATAAATCAAAGCATAGAACGTTCAAATTTTCTTTTTAAACATCCAGGAGCTAAAAAGGTACACCAAGTCAATCTCCAAAACATAAAAGAAATATCTAAACATGCAAACCCATTGGTCATTATCACAGATCTCTAGAGTTTTAGTCATAACATAGTTGTTACACATACAACATATTCAGAATGCTCATATAGCTTTAAACATTATGTAAGAGGAATTTTCTAAATGCTATACACAATACACATTTAAAATTTGTATTATAACAATTACTTTCAAAAGTTTGTAATGTCACAAATATGTCCTACCTTCATCATTGAATCAAAGACTAAGAATTATGATCTAAAGGAACCAAACATGGAAACACCTAAAGAAAATATAACTTAAGTAAAAGGCTCATGTAGCCAATGCCATCAGATGGGATTTCCATGAAATTCTTTTCATTGCTAACAACAATACGATAGTTAAATGACTCAAAGCCCTTGCGCAATCTCCCAGCATCATGTGGCAGTTACAGTCAGAACTCAGAAATTACCACTAATTAAGTTCATATTTCTCAAATACAATAAGTATAACACTAAACAAAGATCAAAGACATTGAAGATTTCCATCTTACCCTGTTTTGAATTAAAAAGAAAATGAACAAATATTAAAAAAGACTTAATGTATTGCTCTAACCAAAGAAACAAAAGACTTCCAGAAAATCAAGAACAGAAGAGTTGCCATTCCTACACAGAAAACAAATAAAAAAAAAGGAAAAAAAAAACACAAACTCATTGAATTTGATGAAGTATTTCAATTCATCACATACAACCATCACACATAAAATTTCAAAATGCTTACATTAACATAGCCTTAAAAATTAAAACTAGAAAACACACAGCATCTCATCATAGTAGCTCCAGTCTCTATCCAATCTTCAGGCAAGGGTCAAAATAAATAATCAACAGGAATAGGATTCATGAAGAAACCAAAATCCCCCACGACTACTTAACTGAAATAAAATATTTGCCACTTCCATCAGGTGGGATCTCCATGAGGTTAATTTCATAGTTTAATACAGCTCAAAGCCCTTGCGCAATCTCCCAGCATCACTGGGAAGTATCAAGCACAAACCCTATCAGCTAAAATCCCATGTCTAGTGAAAGAAACTATGAACACAAGCATGATCATACATCAAAGGCTTAGGAATTCAATTCAAAACAGAGGTTTCCATCAAATTCAGAATCACACAAATTCCCAAACAATGAAATCATTTATCACGATTATGACAACATATCCTATTGCATTGCATGACAAATGTCAATTGACTCAATATCTTTTGATTTAATGAGTTACTGAAAGGAAATTTTTGAATAACTGATTGTGAAAGAGGAAGTACTTGGGGGTGAATGAGAATAAACAAAGGAAAAGCTCAACGCCGCAAACCCTAACATGATAAAAGAAGAAGAAGAAGAAACTTCAATATATGAACAAAGAGTAAGCAACAGATTTGAATCTTCAAAATGTTTGAAACAAAACCCACACACACAAATCAAATTGTAGAGTTGGTGTTATGTAAATCGGAATGGAATGTAAATAAACCGACCAAATCGTCGAAGTAATAAAAAAATAAAATAAAACAAAATATAAAGTTTTTAAAAAAAAAAGCAAAAGAAGTAATTACACATTTCTTCCATTGAAACTAACGTAGATAGATACATCGAAGTTCCAAAGAAATCTTAAATTTATATAGCTTTCAAAGCTCTTGAATTCAGTTAAAATATTCCAATATAAGGTTCCAAAGGAACCCTCTTTTAAAAGCCAACGCGCACACACTTAGTTCAAAAACAGAGAACTAAACAGATTCAGTTGCTAATATGTCTACCTCAACAAATAAATCACCGATTTTGATTCAGACCTGATTAAGGAGTTACCGGCGTGAAGTGCTTCAGGGAAATAGATCTGCTCCGCTGTGAAGAAAGGGCTTTAGGAAAAATGGCGAAATTGAAAATGTAAACTAATCGAAACGGCAAAAGCTTTGCCTAGTAGGTCGTCTTTTCCTTTATATAAAACATGGTCACATATACAATGTGTCCTATCGTGCTGAATATAATTTAAAAAAGAAAAATAATAAAGTTTTAAGATTTAATTTATTAATAAATTATTTTACGCATAACTATTTTGTTAATATTAATATATCTATGTTAAAGTATAAACTAAAAATAATTTGATAAATAAAATATTCACGTGTAAATTAAAATAATGTAACAAGAATCAACTCATAGATATTGTTCCATAGTATAAAATTATTATTTTTAATTTTAGAAACTATGTGCTGCATGTAAAAATAATCATCGTAAGAATTTTCAGAAATTTATAAAAAATTTATGAAAATCGTAACATTTTAAATGAAATACTTGTAACAATAAAATATATATATATATATATAATAATAAAATATAATATTAATTTATATATATAAAATAATTTAAAATAATATTTTTTAGTTATAAAAATTGAATACTAATATATTTTTATGGACTTTTTATTTTAATTTTAATGTGATTATTCTAGCAATAAAAGTATTTGCATATAAATTTTTGCTTCCTAAAATACAAATCTTTATGCTGTAACTGAGATATGAAAATAATTTAAAATAAAGTATTTATTACACGTGATTCAAAATTTTATTTATGAAATTTAAATATTAATATATTTTTATTTAAAGTTATTATTCTTGAATAAATTAAACTATTTTTTATAATTTTACTTTTAATGTATTTTTATGTAAATTTTTTATCTAATATAATTTTTTATTTGTTCATTTTAAATATTAAATAAATTTTTTGTAGTGATCAAGTGATTGATAGATGTGTACCTAATCATGAGTTCAAATCTATACTTTATTTTTATCATATCACACTAGATGGAGGTCACTTTGGTTCTCAGAAGATACCAGAGAGAGTACTGGATAATTGATTTTATTGGCTCACCTTTTTTAGATATGTATATCAAATGACTACTAATTGTGAGATGTATTAGAAAGTAGGAGGGACTATTTCTCAAAGACATGAGATGTGATGAAGAGAGTTGTTGCTACCTCTATCAAAGTTTAAACAGAATTGATGTAGTGCTAGTCTAAACTATCTTTGGTCGTCCTCTTATGAACACTGGGTACGGGATTTTACATCAAACATGTTGTGAACACTAAGTTTAGAAAATAAACAAGGGGTTTGTTGTTTTCAAATTTAAAGACATTCAAATAGAAATTTAAGTTGAAAAATTCAAATAGCAAAATATATTAACCCCTAGTTCATCCATATTGGTTCCATCATGAATCCTCTTAAAAAAAAACACATTATTCTTTCCTAGAATTAGGTTAATTAGAACAAGTGTCAATCAACCCTAGTTTCTCATACAAGATTAAGCAAATCATTTGAGTTCCAATCCTTGGTCCTTAGAACTAACCAATCTTAGAACCAAACTCAAAATTAAGCAATTTGTGGTGCCGTCATCCTTGTTCCCTAAAATATTTTGTAAGGAAAAGCATCTATCTTATCACTTAAATATAACATTATTTAAAAGATCAACATCACAACACAATCATAATTATGAAACATAGGGAAACATAATAACATGAATCTCAAAGCAATATATATCACATATACATATATTTCATTACAAATTATTATATTCCTCTCTTTCAAATACACACTCACAGTGCACTGTAATCACAAATATCTGATGTCTCCAGCAGTTCTTGAGGTCTTACACAACTAGGTAAATAGTTGTCGGTTAGCCCATGTACACGGATACAACGTATACAATAGTCGGGCCCATTAGCAAAGACATAATCAGGAGTCTAGTCAGGAAACGACTATGAGGCCATGTGATGCATTCGCTCTCAGAAAGAGTGTGTACACATACGCGAATGTTGCTCACCACCCTACGTTTTTCTCAAATTTTTCATCGTCTCCGAACTCTAAACCCCAGTGTATCTTTATAACTATTCACACTAAATTTATTCCATTCAACACTTATAGTCATTCCAAAATCATTTCATTCTATACTCACAATATCGTGCTTAGTAAAGCACTTCCAAACTAAGTCTATCTCACTCATACCATTAGAATATAATTTCAATTTATCACGTTACTCATACCAACATCATATTCTATCATAGTCACAATATATATATATATATATATATATATACCTCAACAAATACTCTATACATTTCAACTCATAATTATTATATCATAACAATCTCATATAGACATACTTCACATAACCACACCATAATCACTAAGCATATTTTTAATAATATTTCATATTGAGTACTCATCATATATTTCATGTGAACGTATAACAACTATTCAATCTAAGCAACCAAACAAGCATATTCTCAGCCATCATTCACACATAATATATTTCAACCACATATTTTCATGAAATTCCTATATAATAGTGCCCCAATGAGCACAAAATAAATAATGCAATAGAATGAGAAAATAGAACTCTCCTTACCTCAACTTGAGCTTTTGGAGAGATATTGATGAAGATTAGAGTTGAACTATGAAAGTTCTCCTAAGTACCAAGAGATATCCATAATAAATGAAAAATACGAGAAACGATTAGAGGAAACGAAATTTAATCCAAAGAAACTTACTTGGAGTCGTTCAGATTCAACGTCCAAGCTCGGATTTGAAGAGTAGTCGAAGTTTAAGTGAGTTTATCTGAGTAAAGGAAGTGAGAAATCAGAGAGAATGAGTAAGGAACGTTAGGTTTGGAATGAATGAAATTTCTATGCTGCAAATCTCTTAAATACACCCTAGCCCCGCGCACTCTCACTTAAGCGAGGAACAACTCTTTTGAGTGACGGACTTCTTGCTTGAGCGAAATATAGCTTGCCTCAGGAAGAACACCAAACAGTGGTCTCGCAAAGCATTTCCTAATATTCTCATTTGAGCGAGATTGAGCTCGCTTGAGCGAGATGACGTCTAGAAAGTTGAATATTTTTTCTGAGTCCTCGCCTAAGCGACTCAGCTCACATGAGCGAGGTGACAATTGGGCTGAATTCATCTTATCTCGCCTGAGTGATATTGCCCTAGAATCTTGTGTTTATGGACGCTCAGTCTCGCTTAGGCGAGACTCCCTGCACCAAACTTCTTCCAAAACCCCCCATAATTCACTTCTAACACATTCTAATCCTACTTAATATTAAACAAAGCATCATTTACTAAATAATGAAAAAGAGGGTGTTACATCATCTATCTCGAAATAGAGAATAGTTATGGTGAAATCAAATGCATACAAAGTAAAAAGACAAGAAAAATGAATTCTACACTGACAGTAAAGAACAAAGCAAACTAAAATCAAATTTCTTTATATTAAAATAGTGTACAAATATTAGAAACATGACAACAATATATCTGATGAATTAGGAAATAAATTAGAGATGAAACACATAATGAATAATCTTTTATCAAACAAAGAAAATAAGAAGAAACAACTTTGACACTTATAGCACAAAAAGGAAAAAGAAAAAATAGCAAATAGGGTTCAAAGTAGCTGAGATCTTGAACCTAGTATTTTGAAGGTTTTGAATGTGAAAAATGTTGGGAACATTCAATTTTATATAAGCATCCATGGAGGCAAATGTAAATCTGCATCTGTTGTGTGACTTTCATACTTTTTCCCTTGCTCTCATTGTTCTCCTAAGCTCATCAAATTCCTTTGCTTGATTGGAGAATTTAGATTCTCTTATGCAATTCAATGATGATTATTATATTTTAGTTCCATAATCGATTAAAAGAACACGTTATATTTTGTATTGCTACTATTCATAATGTTAGAATAACTAAAATACTTATCCTCCCCTTATCTTAATCTAATATTACAGTTCTTGCATAAATAATTTGTATATTCGAATCAAGATAGAGAATAGAACCCATCTTAGATGGAAAAGAGAAACATAAAAGTGGCAAAACAAGATTTTAGATCCCAAAAATGCAGTTATAGAACAAAAGTTCTGCTTAACTGCTTGATTAAAAGAGGAAATGAAAGATATTTGATCCATTCTTGTAGATGTTGGAACCTTTTTCTAGAAAAAGAGATGCGAAAAACATCATTTTCTCTTCTCGCTCCTCCTTCGCTATATCTGGAATGGTGATAGTGCGAGAGTTCTCCTCTCTGAATGTCTGGTAAGTGCTAAAAGAATCTCTGTCCAAAACGTATATCAAACCTAAAAAAAAAAAAAAAGTCCTTTTATATTATTTTTTTTATAAATTGTTTTTTTGTTACTTTTCTGTTTGTTTTTTTTTTAATTGTATAAAAATAAAAATTATGTTACACCATCCTACTGTTAATGAATTTCCTCGTATTACTAAATTATTTTGGAAAAAAAATTATATATATTTTATTTTATACTTATTTTATTTAGTATTTTACTTATTGTAATATTTATTTTCTTTTATTTTATATTATTTTTAAAAAATTAATTTTACAAATTTTATTTAAAAATATCTATGTTATTTTGGACTAACACACATTTAAAAAAAATTATTTAAATTAGTTAAATTAATTGGTGTATTTACATCTATATAATCACATTTAATGAGCACTCATTGAAAACTAAGTGAATAACCTAATTTATGATAAGTCACTATAAAAAAATCCAATAACAAATATCCATCATTATAATAAACATTATAATATTAATTTTGATGATTAATATTATTTTATAATTCAATAATTATTCTACTAACTAAATAATTTTCAAAAAATAATTTTAAAAAACTTAACATTATTTAACTTAGATAGCATTAGTTCAATTGTTAGAAACAAATGTTAGCTCAACAAAATATTAATCACAGAAAAAAAAAACAATGAAATCCTAATAAAGTAGAAATTTTATATAATAGAGAAAAATATTATACATGATAGAAACCTCACATTTTATATATTATCTGTTGTTATTGTATTTTATTAAGTGAAAGTGCCATCAAGATTGTATTCATTTAGGTTGAGAATGTAAAAT